ACAGGTGGAGGCTGAGGAGGGGGATCAGGCGGAGGCCGAGGAGGGGACAGGTGGAGGCCGAGGAGGGGGATCAGGTGGAGGCCGAGGAGGAAACAGGTGGAGGCCGAGGAGGGGGATCAGGCGGAAGCCGAGGAGGGGACAGGCGGAGGCCGAGGAGGGGGATCAAGCGGAGGCCGAGGAGGGGACAGGTGGAGGCTGAGGAGGGGGATCAGGCGGAGGCCGAGGAGGAAACAGGCGGAGGCCGAGGAGGGGAGGAGGAGGGGGTTTGGGGTTGCCCAGGGCAGTTTCGGAGTCACCCTTGCTGAGGCTGCCCGTGCCACACAGAACTGAGCTTGTGACAAAAACTAGAGTGACCTGGGCCCACCTTGTGGGGTAGGAGGCCCCGGGGGTCAAGATGGGGGCCTGTGGGCAGCGGGCAGAGCCCACACCTCACTGCGGTGGGAGGCTGGGCTGTGTGGCTCCTGGCGCCCCAGCGCGGCCTCCATGCTCACCTTGGCTCTGTGACCCCGGCTACAGGCGGGTTGGGTGGGGGACGGGGACGCTGTCCGCCCGGCTACAACCCCTGCCCGTCTACACCGGCTGGTCTGCCCTGCTGACTCACACTGAGACGGTTCACTACGGGCGCACCTCAGCTTTGGCATATCCGGACCTGAGAATGTTAATAAAGGGTGGAAAATTCCTTCCACATCCATCTCCTTGTTTATGTTTCTGTTCCCGCGGCTCTCCCCGGACAGAGATTTCCTTTGAGAATAACGCGGGTCGCGCAGTCCTCGGCCGGGCGAGCTTCCGCGCCAGGTCTGGTGCCTCGGGCGGAGCCGGGTGTCTCTTTAAATGGGCTCTGCAGTGTGACGGCGGCCGCCGGGCTGGAGGAGCCGTCCCCACCCTGCGGCAGGAGCCCGCCCGCCGCCGTCGCCCGCCCCGGTCCCCATGGTTACGCGCCTGCCTCCGGCCGCCCGGGTCCCCGCTGTCGCCGCGGGAGGCGCGCGCAGAGGCGGCGGTGCTGCTGGCCCGGCCGGGGCCGCCCGTGCGCGGGGCTGTGACTCACCGGCCGGCGCCGCAGCCCCGCAATCTGTTGATAACTCGCCGCCGGCCCCGCCGCGGCCCTGGCGGATGGAGAGCGGGTCCCCAGCGCGGGGGGCGCAGCGCGTCGGCCTCGGGGAGAGCGGCCCGGCCGCCCCTGCAGCTGCTTTGGCCGAAGCAGGTGAGAAGTTGGGGTCGGGGCGGCGGGAGGGGCGCGCGAGGCCGCCCTGGGGTGATGCCGGCCGCGGGGAAAGCGGCTCCGAGTAACTTTCGGCGTCGCTGGGGCGGGAGGCGCCGCGGAGATCCGGGGTCCCCGCCCAGCGCCCCGGCCTGAGCTCGAGCTCGACCACCTCCAGGCAGAGCGGGCGCCGGGGCCGGGCTGGGGCGCGCGGCGAACCCGGTGCCGGCTCCCGGTGCGAACGCCCGGCGCGCCCCTGGCTTTGTGCAGCCCGAGATGGCTGAGTTTGGCTCCGGAGCCGGGAGGGGGAGCGCAGATTGATTTTTAAATATGGAGAAGGAGACGCATTAGCCGCGGGCGCGTTCCGTCCGAGAAGCGCGGAGCCCCCAGTCCCCACCGGCACCGCCTCCGTCAGCCGCAGGTGCAGCCCCCGGGCCGCCCCGCGGAGGGGAGCGGAGGGGAGGGAGGGACCGAGAGGGGCCGCGGCTGCTCCCTGGCGGAGTCGGGGGCTGCGCGCTGCCCACCGCGGGGACCCTCCGCCCGCCCCGCTCACCACCGCTGTCTTCGCAGATGGGAGCAGCTCCGGGACCGCGGCCGCCCCGCCACGGTCACCCTGAGACCCCGGCCCGGGAGTGCGACCTCCTGGCCGCCGTCTGGGACTTTGACCTTCCGGAGGCCATGGAGGCCGGAGGGGAGAAGGGCGCGACCTAACGGCCTGGACGCCTCCTCCCGCGGCGCTCTTGCTCCAGTAACTTTGCAGCGCTCATGGTGAGTACCGGGTCCTGGGGGTCCTGCAGCCCGGGCCAGGCCAGTGCGGGGGTGGCCACCCGCTTGTGGACTGCCTGGCAGGAAAAGTTGTGGAGTGTTTGGCGGATGACCGGTCTTGGGGCACAGTGCCGGGGTGGGGGCCCGGGCAGGCCTGGAGGCTCTCCAGGGCCGCCTGTCTGGGCGCCCTCTGCTCCCGCGTGCTGGGTGCTGATCATACTAATTAGTTGCAGGCATACGGCAATGTCGAATCATTTAATCAATGGAGGTGACATCCCTCCTGCAGAGCTGGCATCCGTGCCCTGTGAAAACCTTGTCTGGGCCCAGGCTGGGGTCCCTGCCACCCCAGGCCCCTCCACCCTGGTCACAGGGCCTCCCCCACTGCACCCTGCAGCCCCTTCCCATCAGAAAGTTGATGAAAGCGGTGGGGACAGACGTGGGTGGGCTCGGGCAGTGGAGGCTGCGGCGGAGAGAAGGCGGCCGTGCACAGGGCAGGCGCAGGAAGGGTGTTTCGCTGGGAAGGGGCTTCTGGCAGGCGGCTGGCTGGAGCGGCAAGCGGGCCCATCACACGTCCCTCCCTGAGGCTCCAGCAAGCTTTCTCTGCGGTTGCTGACGGTCTGGGTTCCGGAAGGGCTGACAGCTGAGTGAACAATGCATTGTGTGTGCTGGTAAGGGACAGCTGACAGGCGGTGAGGACCCAGGGCACGTGCAGAGAATGCCAATGGCCCCCAGAATGTGCAGCCGCCACAGACGCCAGCACGCGTGCTTCAGAGTGACCCGGTGTTCGCTGCATAAGGAGACATCCGTCTGAGTCACTTGCTCATTTTCTTCTTGTTCCATTCAAAATGTCCAAGCAAGAGATGCCTTTTGCCAAAACTCAGCATCATCCCCCAGTGTGGCTACACCTCTGAGGCCTGCCGAGGTCTCCGCACTTACCTTTCAGACACCTGACAAGGCTGAGCATCCAGCACTAACAGCACCTCAGGAGGCAGCAGGCCGGCCCCAGGGCTCCCGCCCGCCTCAAGAACCGCCGCTGTCGCCCACAGGTGCCACGTCCAGTGCAGCCCCAGGCCTCCCCGTTGGCAGGATCTGTGGCTTCAGCCTGAAATTCAGGTCCTCGTCTGCAAAATGGAAAGCTGTCATTGACAGAGGACAGTGGATGGAATGGAGAAGGGCTTCAGAAGGCGGGGGGGGGGACTGCGGCTGGGGGTCCTGCTCATCCTCTTACTCACCTCCTCCTCTCCAACCCTCAGCCCCTCTACAAAAACCTGTGCAGGACCCTCCCCAGTCCAAGAAGGGCACCCTCCCCTCGCAGGCTGAGCCTGTCCGATCACTCTCCTGGCTCCTGGTGGAGCTTCCTACTGCCACCTGCTCCGTCCAGGGCCACCAGGTCCCAGCCGGCCAAGTGCTGCCCAGCCCGGGGTTCCTGCTCACCCAAGACTGTGAAAGCCTGTTCAGTTCTATTTGTCTGGAGAGTGTGGCATTTCAGAAGTTCACTGGGGTTTTTATTCATAACAAGTAACATTTACACCCGAGAGAATCTCTGAAAGGGATGGGTTCACAGTGTAGATACATGGCAGGCTCACCCCACGGTTGCAGGGTCTTGGGAAGGAAGCCTGGAGGCCATGGCCAGGGTAGGGTGGCCCCACTCTGCCTGCCCCACTGCTTCGCTCTAGGAGGCTCCCAACCCCTGCGGGAGGCAAGCTGCCTGCTGAGCTCCGAAGGGTAAGGGCACTGGACCCTGAGCTGCTGTCCTGCAGGCTGGCTGGGCCGGGCGGTCCGCTCCGCAGGCTGGTTTGTCAGCCCATGGTGCTCTACAGGATGGAAACTTTGCTCCCCTCCGGAGGGACCTGTAGGCCACCTGTCCAGAGGTTAAGGCTGGGGCACATCCTCTGGCGAGCTGCGCCTCCATCACCACTGTTAACGGGCGAAAGCAAACGTGAACTTGCTGGTCTCTGCAAGGGGTGCTGTTAGGATCTATGATCCAGCGCGCTCTGGAATAGGTGTCATTTTGCACCCTGTGACCTGCAGGCCTCACACTGGGCTCGGGGAACAGTTGTTCTGAGGAACTCCAACTGTCAGTCTTTGGAATGCGATAAAACTGCAGACATTTCTGCTTTCCCTGTGTCTGTTTCCCTCAGAGTCTCTGAGTCTGGTGGCCTTGCTGAGACACCTTACACTCAGCACAGGCCCCGGCTCTCCCAGTAATACTGTGGTCAGAAACTAAACTGAATAATAAGACTGGCATGACTGATGTGGTGTGGTGTGTGGTGTGGCTGCTGTACTGTGACACAGTATGGATTGGGGTGGGGTGGTGTGGATGGTGTAGTGTCGTTGCTGTGGGGTGGGGTGGTGTGGATGGTGTGCTGTGGTTGCTGTGGGGTGGGGTGGTGTGG